TCTCACATATAACCTTTGTTTGGGCCATTTAATCAGTGTGAAATCAGTGCAAATTAGTGTTTTAACTGTTCACAATAAATGTGGCTATTGTAGTTTTTACATGAATGTTGCTGCAGGAACTGATCACATCAAGTAGCAGTACTTAAAACAGTCATTCAGAATGCAAGTAACTCGAGGCAACAAGCAGCTTCAAAGTAGTGCGATTTTTCAAGAAGAGGAGTCTCAAAACCACTGCTACCATACTTCATACACAGAAAGTATGCAGAAATACAACAAAGATAAGTCTACAGGCTTGCTAGCAGCTCTGTGAGGCTATCTTTTGTGCAGCGGTGATAAGAGCTAACTGCTACAAACATGCTAAGATTAGAATTTCTACATTCTGTCCTGATATTTGGTATAATGTAAAATGTATTCGAACTTGGTTTGAGGTTCTGTGTTAGTGTGCAAACATTTGCTATTTGACACTACAGAAAAATAACAGGCTGATGGGAATGCTGTTGGTGTTGGTTAAATGTAAGTATTTAAGTCCATCTATAAAAGTTACCATATTTCATTAAAAGACAAAAATGTCAACATGCTGGTGGTACGTGAGTAAATGTCAAGTAACAGAATTCAGTTGGATTCAATCTTTGTGGCTCATGAATGGGCAAATTTTCATGACATAGTAGTTAATTTCAGTCATTTCAATGGATAAGTTGCAGACTGATTGACACTCCTGTCCTATCTGCACAGATACGTCCAATTCATTTGGTGGAAATAGTTTGGACGTTTGTATGAATTGAGCGTCAATACGTTTTTTGTAAGCCCTGTATTAATATTAGCAGTCAATGTGGGATTTCTTCTTACCTACACTAAACCCACTGAGATACATACTTTACTAAGGAGCTCATTAATGAGATACTCGAAGGCAGAATACAAACAACCATAGCCATGAATAAGTGGAATCACTTCATGCACTAGTTGATAATTTCCTGCAGTTCATGCCTAGTGATGCACGAGCAGAAATCTAGATGGGTCCATTAAAACAAGTGTTTGTCATTATTCATGCCTAAATATGCGTGAGCCTTACAAAGCTGGCAGCTGTGGTCTGACATTCTTGTATTTGTGTGCATGTCTGTGTGTGTAAACAGAGATTAGTTGTATTAATAGGCCAGCCATGTCCATGTCCTAATCCACTTACTGGTCATCTATCTTCTTGATCAGACCAATCCAGCTACACCATCTCACCAAGCTACTGTATGACATCATAGCAGGTCTACCGGTTGGTTCCTAGGCAACTAGATCAAATCATCATAGAAACTGGCGAAGGTGAAGAACTTGGCAAGAAATATGAGGCTGTGGTAACCCCAGGGGAGAGGTGATGGAGCAAAAAGTACCACCGATGCTATACAGTGAGCCCTGGGGGGGGGGTAAAGGAATCAATATAGCAGTGGCTGGGGCACTTGATTTATAGTTTCTGACACTGATGCTTGTGGTACAATCAGAAATTTGATACCCAAAGCTATCACAGTAAAGTAAGCTCCCAGTGGGCTAACTGGGAAGAATATATGGCACATACTAGATGCTAACAGAGACGTATTCACGACCTGTCGCATGTCATTCCTATCTATCCCCAACTCACAAGTCAAAGCATCAATCAATGTTAATGTTAATATATTACAGCAAAATGTATCTGTTCGTATCATATTTGTATACCGGGCTTAAGTTTATTCTTTTATTATTTAGACCAGAAGTAAATTTAACATTGAGCAGGCAGCTGGCAACAGTGAAAAGAAAAACCCCTTCCTTTTAACAGAAACCTCGAGCTGAACCAGACTCATGGTGAGAAGTCTTCATCAGGTCTCAGACAGTAACATCTCAAAACAAGGTAAAACTGAAGCATAATAATCCAAATCAACAACATTGAAAACTTAGAACTTGGTCAATAACTTTGATGTATAAACATACAAATACTTATAAACAAGGATGCATAATAAGGAGGCATTAGAGTAGACTTCAGCTGAAGATGGTCTCTCAGTTGAACTCTTCAGATACCAAAAACATAATCCATTATTCATTTTAACAAACTAACTGCAGAACTTTTACAGAACTGAACTCTTGACGTCTGAAATTAAATTGAAAACAGCATGAAATAAATTCAAAGTAGTTACGTAAGGAAAAGAAAAATAATAGGGCTTTTGGGATGTACTTCCTGCCCCACTGTCTATGGCCTCATTTTAGGGGTTAATGAAGGCAAAAAGCCAGAGATCCTCTCTCTCTCTCCCTCTCTAGGCTCTGACACTCTGCTGGGACTCAGATACTGACAGCAAGGCCCAGAAACCTACTTCTACTGAGGGCTCAATGACTGACATGGCTCAGCTTACGGCAGCAGCCCACACACAAGATCACATACTTACACATGCATGCACCTGTACACACTCACACACACACACACACACATATATACTCGACTTAACCCTTAAAGTAACCATATCCTGCAGCACACTCAGCTGAAGTCAATAATGTATATTCAAGTGTCATCAGTGTACAGTCTAATCATCGGAACTCTTTACTTTTATTCAGCCACATACAATTGTATTTTATTGTTTTCATTCCTCTTAGTTTGAATGGCAAATAGGTGGGGTTTTTTGTTGTTGTTTTTGATGCATGTAATGTCGATAGAAGTAAGCAATTCTCTCTTTTTAGCAACAGAGCTCTGTCAGGCTGGGGTGGCTACAAAGAGGGGCAGTCAATGGAAGTTCCCATGTGTCCAGTGTATGTGAGCCATTCATCATTAGACAAACTCATATCACTCTGTTACAATGTCATTTACTTAGTACAGAACGATAGAGCGCCATTTTTTTTAAACAATTGTTTAATGTATTTCAGTATGTAAACTGAAGAAAGTTTTTTTGTGTGTGTGCCAAGCAGCGATAGCAGTGATCAACCTGATAGACAATATTCCCCTCCCATTTTATTGGGATTTTTTTTGCATATTGTTAAGCTGTCCACAACACATTTATACTTTTAGTTAACTCTCAATGCTCTCAAACTAGGGCTGCCCGATATTCTGTCCTATTTTCAAAGACTTGGTGTCTGTGCAGAACTAGGCTAGGATTTCCAGCTCACACATTAAACACACATGTATATTGTCAAACGTATGAAGTTCCAATACAGTCTTAAAAACTCTTTAAAATCTGAATCGCCTTTTCTCCACTTTTTCTTTCCTCTGAATAGAAAAAGCACATACACAAACTCTCCCACATGCATTAACCCACACATGCACACATAATAACAAAAAAACTAAGAAGGCGTAGTTTCTGCACTCAGCCAAGCCCAGCCCATCCGGCAGATACTGTGTTACCATGCCTACAGGCCCAATCAATACTGTGCCTAAAAATAGCATAACCACACTAGTCTTATTTCCAATCTCAGAAGGGGTGAACTGGGCGAGAGCAGCAGTTGTTGTGTAATCCCCTGGATAACTGCAACTGATTGTAACCAGAGAGTTAGTGGGCACTGTGCAAAAGTGTGAGTTTAATCCCCACCAGGAGGTTTCTCAAGGAAAAACCTGATCCTGGGATTTGATTGGCCCGCGTGGGGATCTAACAGCAGTTTAGGACAGGAAATCTGGAAAGACTTCTTACTAAATTACCAGTGGATCACTAAGTAGACTGCAAGGTGTCAGGACAACATGGATGTTTATGAGGATAAATCTTTGGAAGTGGGATAAATGGTAACAAAGAGTACTTAAGAAATGTCGCTTTGGATAAAAGCGTCTGCTAAGTGCTAAGTGACTTGTAAAGAAGCAATTAAAAAATGAAATCCCCAAAGGGCAAAGAGCAGATTCATCAAAGCGACTCACAAATTGGCCATTTAGAAGATGACTACTGCTGTATGACACAGAACGGCAGATCGCCCTTCACGTCACACACAATCTGTTTCAAAGTTCTAGCTTCATTTTGAGTCAAGGGAGAAGTAGTTTGTGTTGCTACATTCGATCATTTGGAGCTAGAGAAAGGCAGAGAGAGGGGAGCAAACAGACAGACACGAGGAAACTGATGATAGGGGGTCAAGTTTGAGATGGAAAGTTGAAATGAAGGCAAACATAAAAACACCAGAGAGCTGAAGCTTGTCACATACATTACCCTAAACCCAAAAATGTTGAAAGACATTTTTCCCTACACAAAAAACGATACATGAATAGCGAAAGTGCTTTCGACTTAATTTCACTGCAGTGCAGCCTCGCCACTGTCTTTCCCACTTCCACAACGTGTAAGTACCGAAGCGGGGAATATCTGCACAGGTGTATGCATAAGTACAAGTGTGTGTACACAGTGCTGCTTTTATTCATGCTCTTTTTTTTTTAGCGTTTTCCTCCACAAGCTGAGAGAGGGAGCTGAATGGGTGGGTGGACTATCAAGGGGGCCCGTAACTCTGATTCATTTCTGTGTTGGGAGGCTAAGCTCTGGTGCACGTCCCTACACAGTGAGGGCTCCATTCATAGATTCCTTTCATCTTTACCTTCTCTCGACCTCTTTTAGTGTGTGTCACTGTTTCTTGCTACACCTCTGGCTGAGAACGGGGACACTTCATTCATAAAAGGCTCATGAAAGAGAAATGAGAGTAGGGTCATCAAATATTTAGCCATTGTGATGCCTCTGTCAGCCTGTTGATATATCCACTTTACCTGAATAAATGGATGCCTGTATCCTCTTGTTGCATATTAAACCACATATGAAAGAGCAATAGAAACACTCTTATCTTTGCATCCATTCTATTTTTCCAATGGAACCACTTATCATGTACAATACTTGCAACGAAACGTCCACATAACTTTAATGGCTTTGAGAAATATTGCTACTTTGGAAGCAGCTTACCAATCAGCATTGAGAACCATTCTAAAACCAAATTCAAAGATGTGTCTGAGATCCCCCAAAAAAGGCTTAGTTATGTCCTCCAGAACACGAGGCATGCTAATAAATTCTGCTGCTTAACTTCTACAGCCGAAGATTTCTTACCAATTTGCCCTCCAGTGTGTAGATCTTCTTCACCACTCCAGAGTCGAGCTTGATGGCGTCGGTGATGTCGGTCAGGACTTGCTCGTAGGAATGGGCCGTTTTCTTGTTCAGCAGGATCCTCACAGCTTTGCGGGGCTTCACTCCGCTTCGCACCACAGTCACAAGCTTTGGACGGATGAAGTCTTTGATTTCGCGGCTCTCTGGAGCACCGGCCATGGTGCTGCCAAGGGAAGGAGGCCCACGAGAGGCGGCCGCTGAGGCCTTGACGTTCACTGACCAGTTTGGGTTCACGTTTTTCGCGTAATCCAACTTTTTGTAGGCTTCAATAGAGCTGCAAACGTAGCTCTCACCTGGTTGGGTAAAGCAAAAAGAGTTTTTAAAAAACCCCGAAAGAAAAAACAAGAACTTTAGAAATAATACAAAGAAATGTAATGTATATTGAAAGGGAGCAAAAATGGTGAAGAATGTTTAAAAAAAAAAAAAAAGGGAAGGAACATGGTTGCATAGGTTAACTTTTTTATGCAACAACTCAAAGCCAAGCAACTACTACTATTCAAGCAGCAGGCAATATAATCCTTCCAAAAAAATATTTAAATAATTACACTGATATGGAATATTTTGCTGTTCACTTTCCTTCTGCTGTTCATTTATTTTTCATTCCAATATTAGCCAACAACTTATAGCTCTTCACATGTCACTTTTCTAAAACAGATCAATAGAGAGCTAATAAAGAGAAACAATCCTCATAATGATAATTTAGAATATGTTTAATTGTTTAAGCCAGTGCCATAGACGATTGCCAAAAACATGTTTTGTTGAACGCAATTTCAGACCAGCCTGTTATGCAAATGTATTCTTTCTGTCTTCTGATTTCATATTTTCCATAGTTGAGGTTTCTTACTTTGTATAATTTTATTAGGAGATGAAGAGGACATACAGAAATAGGTGTGACATGCTTGTTTTTGGATTTGCCTATACCATGGTGTCTAATAAAGCCATAGGAGTCCAGATGCTGAAGAACAGTCCAGCAAAACACTGTGACTACATAAAACATGCATGAGTGCTGAAATGCTGTATACCCACCCTCTACCAGCTGTTCTATAGTCATGATCTTCTTCGTGCCATCCAGAGTGTAGATGGTCCGGACGCCTTGGGGCAGGTTGACATTGTCGGACAGGGAGCGGGTCAGGTCCGCCAGCAGGGCGTCAAAGGTCCTGAACCTGTCTGAGGAGATGGCGTACACTATCCCATTGAAGTACCGGTCTCCGTTGCGGTAGAAACGGACTTTCTTGGCACGTTTCTCCTCCGTCAGAGTCTTCAGGGTCCGGGTTCGATACAGGCTGCAATGGGCGCTGTGCGTGGGACTCGGCACCCCGTTCATCTTCGCACTGGACCGGCCGTGTCTCTGACCTTTGTCCCGGTCGTCGAAATGCTCCATCTCCATCTCGCTGCCGAGGCTCACAAGTACGGCCGTACTGTCTGAGAGGGGAGGCAAACAAACAGGAGCACGAGGGGGGGAAAAGTTTTCACTAACGAGTAAGTAAACAAAAACAAAGAGACACAGAGAAAGGAGGAAACCGGGTAAGGGAGAGGTCTGGGCGACTGCTGAAGTCGCAAGCCGGTATCCTTCCCTGGTAGCCTTGTCTCAAAATAACTCCCTAATGACAGATTAAGTGCTGTTAAGCCGAGAGGTGGACAGCATGCTTCAAGACTATTCTGCCGGTCACTAGTGCGCAGAGTTATTGCAAAGGGAGACACCGACAGTCACGAATCAATATTTGCCAAACATTTCCTGTTTAGAAATGTTCAGAACCTTCAGTCAAACAAACAACCGCCTTAATTGGGACCTCCCATAACAAAATGAGACCATAAAGCAATTAAAATACCACTTAAACTAGGACTAAAATGTCAATGACAAATGTTAGTTTCTAGTGTGTTTTTAGTGACGATGGTACAAGAGACAAAAAACAACAACAACAACAACCTCTTTATCTATTTTAAATCAGACAATTAAAAGCACATTGACAGGCTTACCCACGCGAGCGATTAACGCTTCTTTGACGGTCACCTCCAGTCTGACTGACGCTTTATTTCCGAGTAGAAAAGGAAAAGAGTTCAGTAAGCTTGTCGCTGGCACTGAATGCTGTAATCCTGTCCTGGCTGCAGTGAGCCCCCCCTGCGTGTTGCTACCCTTTGTTGTCCGGTTGATGTGCTCCGCAACCAGTAGCCTATGTGTGTCCGTGCGCGTGTCTGTGTGTGTGAGCAAGGAGCAGAGCCCGGATTGGAAGTGAAGTATAGGGACCAGCTGCTTCCCCTCCCATTCTCTTTTCACCTCCTCCTCCTCCTCAGCCTTTCCTTCTTCTCCACGTCACTCTGTCGTGATGTTCATTCAGCGCCCCCACCCCTCATTACGATGCAAACCCACGTTTGCCACCCGTGCGGTGGATGATGCACGGCTTCTGGGGATGATGCGCCCCCCCCCCCCCCCACAGACCCGAAACCACGAGTTGTCTGGGGGGGTTCTCACGTTTTTATAAAAATTGAACAGCTTTTCCATTAAAGCCATAATATTAATGAAGTAAATTATCAATACGAGGTCACTTTATTTCATTTGTACAAATGTTCCTGAATTTGAATCATTATAATAAAAAGTGTGCTTTGTTTTGGAGTGTGCAGGCGACTCCCTCTGTATAAACCTTGGCTATAAGCAAAGAGCAGTATTATGGCAAACCTTAAGAAAATGTGCATGTGAGATGTTATGTAATGCACAGAGGGTCCTTGGTGTAGCTTAATCCCAAACTATGCAATGCAGCTAATGATGTAAATGCAGTGTGACAAGTATGATTGTTGTAACCCATTTCATCCCTTGTATGAACATTCAACAGGGACTACATGTTGAGTTTTGAGAGGATGCTGCTTTCTTCCTGTCATAACATTGATTCATTTTCCTAGCAATTAAATTGTGTGTTTGTTTTGTGACTACAGAAAATAGTCTCTCTCGCAGAGATACAGACCACTGATATACATTGTTGACTCCAGAGACCTCCCAATTACATCCCATCATGCGTTAGCAAGCAATCAGCTATGCCAGGGATAATGAACATTGCATTTAAAATACCATTCTTCTGTTATTGTGTTCTGTTGGTTTAATATTTTAACATTTCTTAGGTTAGTGCCTCTTTTAAGGAGTCAAATATCGTCAATCCAACCATTCTAGCTATCCCATGAATATATCCGACAGTAATGGTCATAAGGGAAAGCATCTATTATGCTGGGCATCTTGGACTGTATAAACATGAATGCACCAGGATGTTTGGCAGTGACAGATAGATATAAAAACATTATCCATCACACAGATGTTTTCTATTTTGGGAAGAGACACACAAACAGCCAGAGTGCGTCACAAGCTCAGGGCTGAAAAGGTGTGTGTCTAAATTAGTCCAGAGAAAACAGGGCTCATTTGGGGGAATGTGTCTTCAGACCAGGGCAAGAAATATGGAGGACAAAGTGAAGGACTTAAAATGAGGACAACAATCTCTTTTCTTTCTTGGTGCCTAAGAATTCACACTTTCTGATATATCTGATATAGAAGTCCAGCTGTTCAAATAACTGTTGCTATAAAAGTAAATAAATGTAAGCATTTCTGCAAATATATATAACATTTGAGAGGATAAAGCAGATCCAATCTTGAGTGTAACTCTGTATAGTATAGCTATTTCAACTTTATAAGTAATCAAGCATGCAGTATAGAGCAGTTCATTTGAACCCTTATTTGCAGCTGGCAAACTCAATGTGGCCATTATAACATTAGAATGATATAGGATTGGATATAGCATTTCCAAGAGAAAATAAATGGTTGCAATTCTTTATAGAGGTCATCTTTGCTCTGGAAGCATGACCAAGCAATTTGCTGAGATCTAATTTACTTGTATATAAAGAGTTTGACAATGAAAACAAAGGCTTTTAAGTGTTTTTGCAAGTCCTTTTTTATTTGTAGAACTAAACAGAGCACATTAAATGTGGATCTACCGTTTTATGACCAATTATCCTTCATAAAAAAAAAAACAAGAGAGATTACTTTTTTATACCAAGACTTTCCCTCAGCATGTCTTTGCAACAATTTACTGAAACGATGCTTCACAAAAACACATATAAAAGAGCAATGTAGCACATCTCCACTAATGCATTTCTGTGAAGTCTATAACAAAATAAAAAAATAGAAGATAATTAAGATGTGGATAGATGGGAATGAGCTTCATATTGTGACAAATCTCATCTGGAATAATTTAGCAAATTATTAATGTCTTTATTTCACTGCAAGATGCTGCATACAATGAAATTCTTTCCATCATGTCTTTGATACCATACAAAATCTGGAGCCAAGAAATCATTGAGGTTGACTGACAGGTCATTCACATGCACATGCTACGGGTCTCTTACGCACAAAAATAAGCAGTTAAACGTACACATGTGGTTTTCAACATATTCATATAGTGAGTACAGAGAGAAGAAATAACCGAGTAAGCATGAGCAGGCAGCAATAGTGTGATTCATGGTGTTTGACAGATGCTGTAGTGATTCGTCACCGTGTTGCACCTGTCAGCACTAGACATCTGGTTGGTTGCTCTGTGGCTGTGTGGGTAGGATGCTGTGAGATTTACAAATACGAGCTTGTGCACAAAAAACAGAATAAAGAGAGGAGAGGTAGAAGAAAGAAGGATAGTGTGGCGTGCTGTAAATGTACTAACTTTCTTATGAGGCAACATGGACTGGCCGTCTTTAAATTAAGTCATTAATCAAAGACAAATAACCTGTCGCTGAAGCAGCACATGCAAGGGTTTACACTGTGTCAGCAAACCATATAAAAATGGGTGGAGCTGTAAAGGGAAAGTGCACCCTAAAACAGAATTCACATTGGTGTTTGGTTTTAGATAGCAGGTCAGTACTTCAAAACAGGAACACGTCTTTGTTAGCTGGAAATTAGGGAGTTCTGACTGATGAGGACATGATTTTCTTCGGTGTTTTATTGAATGAATGGAAAGTTTAATAAGTATACCTGTAAGATCGTAAAATATAAATGTTATAAATCTCATAACAGAGCGTTGAGAAGTGATGATAAAATGTCCTTATATCCATATTCCAAGTACAATCTTACTTCTTTGGCCTAAGAAAGACTGTTTCCATCTGTTTGGTGGAATATAATGGCTAGCAGCCAATTATTATGAATCCAGATGTCCAAAAATCTTACTTTCTTTCATTTCATGCAAAGATTTAGCCCGAAGGAAAAGTGGAAGTGGTTGAGCATCCAGTGTCATACTAAAGGACAGTTCAGCTGTCTTGATGCTTAGTGACACCAGGGCTTGAGCTCTGCCCTTTTCGTTAAAGGCCAGTTTCCCTGTCACTACAATACAATTTCCTGCCAATCTTAGACATGAAGCTGAAGAACAGGTAATGTGTATATGCCTTCATGAATAATTATCTGCCTGTAACCGCTTTGTCTCTTAACCCAATTTTAGGTCACAATCCCTGAGCTCATTAATATGACTTCACTGTCCTTGCAGACCAGTGAGTTGAAAAGGAAGAGAGAGCTAAGGGTGCAAGTTAGAACAATGAAAACTGACTGGACATGATTGGCTATTCTAATACTACGAGATATTGTTCCAATTATTGCCTGATAAGATCAGCAAATCATCCTCCACACTTCTCCACAAACACAAATGAAACAGCTTCTGGAAATTTTCCTTTTCACTACTTTATCCCATATGGCTGCACTTTTAACACACCTACGTTTGTAAAGGCGGTCAGTGGGTGGGATGGGGCTGACCGGTTGCGAGTGGTGTACGTGGGGGCTGCTTACGAAATAGTCGTAGGAGGTGCTTTGGAAAAGAAAATTGCAGTGACAGTAGAAATGTCAGACTCAGCAGGGTTCTGGCACTTTACGAGGTGACCTAGCTCACTCAAAGCCTGTCATATTCCTCCCCCTTAAACATTTCCTCTTTTAGCCACTCGTCCTTTTCAAACGGGACAGGGAGAAAATGCCAGGTGGTATAATAAATGTACATTTGTATATCATGAGATCAGTGTGAGACTGTATTTGCCAGAAATTGTGAAATAAACACTGACTTATGACTATAGCAACTTTTTTTCTATGTGGGCGATCTGCCCACATAGAAAAAAAAGCTTTGAGGAAACTAAAAATACAAGTATATAGCAATTTTTCAACAATCCACATAACAAGTACTGAGTAACATTGATTCTTTTTACATTTTATCATACTCCTATAACCCGAGACTTTGGATCTGGTTTCTGTATCAGCTAGGATTTGACTGTTGGTAACCTACTTCCCTTTTGGTATTTCTTCTCGTCTCTTCTCTCTACTGTTGCTCCACTAACACCGCCTCCTGTCACACGCACGCCTCCTCCATCTTCTCCTCTCTCTTTTCCTTTCTTAGATTTAGCCTCTTCCATCCTGCTGGCCTGCTTCCCTCTATGCCTTCAGAAAATATAGTTAGTAAAACAGGCCAAAGCTGTGGATACGAAATGTTTTCAATTAAAAGGGCTTAAGACAGCTGAAATAATCCAATAATAGTCAAAGAGGATCAATCTCAGAATTTATTACTTTATTAATCCGAGTTAATCTGTCAAGCACATGCAATTGTTTATTTGTTACAAATCAGCACAGAATTATGGATCCAAAAACAAATTGATTAATGCAGATATTCCAAGATTAAATCAAAATAATGTCACATAGTAGGCCTAAATGTAAGTAAAGAGCTAAATACGTTGACTCATTTAAGTCACTAAGTGTTTATTTACTCATCTGACATGTGCCCTTATCTAAAGTCTTTTACAGAAACTGTTCCCATTGGTTGGACTGCATTTGTGGTAGCATTAAAGTCATCATTAAGTGATGCCCCCTCCATGAAATGTTACAGTGCTAACATTAACAATAAAGCCAAACTTGGCGTTTTCTTTAAAGCTGTAACATCATGTTTATATGGAGGGTAATATTATAAATGGCTCATAATCATGCATCTTATTTAAGTACTGAAGGTCATTAGTATGAGTGCGTTTGATTGTGACTTGCCAGTGGAATCGCTTATACTTCAAATACTGCAAATGGCAGCATTTATTTCACATTTGCATGCTTTGCACTATTAATAAATCAAATAATCAAACTAAAGAAACAGTTAGCTAGAATGTTAGCTAAGTGAATCTTGGTGTGTGTTTTTTCAGTCATTTTTTGGGCTCTAGTTTATTCATTACACAGTTCCTGTTATTGTTTTCATCATCTGAAAGGGTCCCCTCACCTGTTCTGTTTGCTCTCTGGTGCCCTCTGTGGCTGGTGGGAGTACTGTCTTCTTTGGACATCAAGGGTGGAGGACAGCTGTGAAAGTGGGCAATTCAGAGTAATTTCAAAGAGTGCACTAGAGACAGTTTGTTTAGCTGTATCCATGACTATGCTTTTGTGTGTTTACAGCAGACCAGAGGCTCTCAAAATCTGCTTCAAATGTAATGATTTAATGTTGATAGACAAATCGAGTTTGAGTTTTCTGGCAGCTTCAGCCCTGCAGGAACCAGTGTGGTTGCAGCAGAAAGCAGAACGTCCTTGACTCACCTATTATATAATAGAGCAGCATTAGAGGATGAATGAGAATTCGTAACTAGGCCTGAAAGAGAGAAGCTACATAAGTCTGCTCTCTACACTGTAATGGGATTTTGTAGCACTTGGACATGACAGCTACAGTACTGCTCAGTGAGGCATAAACATACTACTCAGTGAGTTGTAGTGAATAGGTTTGGTTCTAGAGCTACTTGTTAGACTTGCCTGTAGCTCTTTTGTTGACATGGATGAAAAGAGAAGCTTACCTTAGCAATTTCTGAAAGGTATGCCCGCCTCTCATCATTAGTTTTGTGAAATGCCTGAAAGAGAATATGAAACAGAGGACAACACTGTCACATTTTCTCGCTTCTCACAGGTGCAGTGCTTGTTATAAGTGTTCTGCCTGAGCATATTTAAAGAGGTCCTCAGTGTTAATGAGCCACTGGTTAAACCATGTATTACTGGTTCCATATGCTGAATGCTTAACCTTTTTTCAGAGAATATCTCACTGTTTGTTGTGGAGAAAACAATAAACAAAGAACGAAGTGGCTAAACTAAGAGCATATCATTTTTGTCTTAGCAGAATGCAGGACTAAATGGAAAGCAGTGACTGTGATCACAAAAGCTGTTATGGCAAAAACCAAAAGTGCTTTTTTGCTCTGAACTACAACATTTGAACACCTTTCCCTCCTGTTCAATTTGCAGATGACAGTCCATCAGCTGACTCTGGAGGTCAGACTTCTCTTCAGTCAGGATCTTCAGTCGCTGCTTCAGTGTCTCCTGCCGCAAAGTGTTTCAATTGATTAGCCAAAGAGATAACAAAAGAGGCCACCTAGAGTCAACATGTTGTACTGGTAATGTATGATTACAAATCAATTTGTACTCGAATAACAAAGTCCTATCTACAAGGATCAAACAATAGCAGAATAGTTACTGCAGAAAACCTGAGCACAAAAATGGATTAGTCTCATACATAATTCAATAACGGGGAAAAACACATTACAGCTGGGACATGGAAAAGTTACATGACGTTTTTAGCACAAAGCAGAGCAATACAGTTTTCTGGGTTGAAAGAGATTATTCCTTCTTCATGTACCAAAAAAAATAAAATAAAATAAAATAAATAAAATAAATAAAATAAATAAATAAATAAAATAAATAAAATAAATAAAATAAATAAAATAAATAAAATAAATAAAAATAAAATAAATATAATAAATAAGCAACTATGGATTAATAAATAATGTGTTTAAACTTTCAGATGTATGAATCAAAATTCAGAATCAACCTGATGCTCGACAGTTTAATATCAAATGAATACATTAATTTTAATGTGGCTTAATACATTATTGATTGCATTAAATCTGCATATTATCACAGCATCACAGCATAGTATATTTACAAACCCAATGCATGCCATGTAAAAGTATCAGTTATGTTATCTAATAGCTCGAGTAGACAGAGCTACTGTATACTAACACCAACGCTAACCGATGATCTATTTCTTTGTTGTCTCTATCTGAAATGATCTATGTTCTTCAAACAGTCCTGTTCATGTTTTTCCATAGATCTTCAGTCCAGTCTTTCTGATACACTCATGAGCATCTGTTAGTTGTGCCTATAAGGCAAGCAGACACACTCATATACTGACTGTGGCGTGCAACAATCAGTGTGTGGTGTGCATTCATGTGTGTGTGTGTGTGTGTATTGTAATTAGTGTGCCTTTCTCTCCCATGGTTTGTAATCCTGTGATTACAGTGCTGTGATTAAACTCTGGTTTGTTCAGCCTGCATCAACCAGAGGATGAAGAGCAGCTGTCCTCTCTGTCCTGCCTCCTTTCTCTGCTTACATTGTGACTCTGGCTCACTCTGCTGGTATAGCTTCTCTATTACTGTATTAACTTTATTCTGCACTTGGGTAAAAAAAAACAACCTAATAACTCTTACACAACAACACAAGTCATGAAAAAGCTTCAGAGAATATCAATATGTCTTTACTTACCACAGGCATGTCATCATAAGAGCGGATGGAGGCCAATCGATCTGTAAAAAATATATATACATTATGTGTGCATGCAGTAAAATGCTTAAAAAGTCTTAACGAGTGGTGCATTTAAGGGATGTTTGTTAACTTCGGCATCATGCACTTGAGTTGACTATGGGGCATTTCTGCCAGACAGCACCTGTTCAAATGTATTAACACTATTCATCCTGCATCTCTTAAATGAGGACATCGCCATAGACAATCAAATTACCTCATGAATTAGCCCTGTTTTAATTAACTAAACTTCCATTTCTTGAATCTTGAGCATCCTGAAAGAGTTTTGCAATGTCAACACACTTAGTGTGGAGAAAACTATCCTGACTGAGTTATTTACTCTTCTGAAAAGCCTGTTTTTGGTTTACAAATTCAATCATATATTTCCCATTCCCTTCAAAAGGCAATAATGGCTGGTGAACTTACCCATGGGGTTTCCTCGTAGGTCCTCCAGTCTCTCATGAATCAGTGACATTTGTCTTTCCAACTGTCCATTTAACTCTATTTGAGTCTCATACCTTGTCTTCCACTCATTTCCTGTTGTATGGGGGGGGGGGGCAATTGTAGAAGAGTCACAGCCAAGCCAGTAGCATTAAGGGCAGGGCACATTACACTCTGACTGAACAGTACCTGGGCTAGTCAAGTCCAATTATCTTAAACTAAAGCTTTTATAATGTCAAAATATAATCTAATTTACCTTCCCCATCAACACTGTGCAGTCTTTCTTGTAGTTCAAACATGGTGTTCCGTAAATCAGAGACGGAGTCTTCCAGCATTTCTCTACGACAGACACAGAAGTTGCTATTTTTACTGCGCAAAAAAAACAAAACAAAAAAACTTTGAACTTAATTCACTCCCCAAAAAAAACTTACTTAATTTCTCTCTCCTGCTCAAGTTCTTCCTGCAAGCGAGTCAAGTCGTACTTGCTGTAGTCGCTGTCTCCTGTCATGTTTCTGAAAAACTGACTCTGAAGAAATGTTTGGTCCTCCGGGTTTCTATGGAGACCCCTGTTTCCGGTTTTGTTAGGGCGTTTTTGGACGTAACGGAACATTTTAGTGGCTGGACGGACCATACGGACGGACGGATACAAGAAATTTGATTTCTACCTCGGTGAAATATTCAACACACGAGTAAATCCCGTAATATAATTTATTTATTATTTATTATAATACAAATAAATAAATGTATCCATTACTACATACTGCGGTCGCTGGAATGGGACACAGCTATGATGTACATTTCAAGCCATTTGATAAAGCTCACTTCACGCTTTATGAGCATGAAATTTAACTTCATCTCAGAATTAGGCTAACTTTCATTAAACATTCCTTATAAAAAAGGTATTTATAATAGTAGTTAAAATGTGGTATTAACATTTCTTTATGTACTGCATTTGTTTTATTTTACATTATGGCCATTTTCAAACCCATCTATGCTTTCAAAGTTGTGTAGAATCAACACGTTAACCTTTTACTGTTAAAGCTATGAATCTAAATGAAAACAAGCACAGAAAATTGACTAAAATACATTTCAGTAGCTATGACAGGTTAAAATACTACCATTACCTTGACCTAGAGACATAAATAACTTTGAAAAAGAATAAAAATTTGATTCTGACTCAGACTTACTCCAAGTTTTAAATTATTTTAACGTTCATATTTTTTTTTTCTTCTCTTCTTCTTTCTTTAATTTCTCTGTATTCCTCTCTGGCTGATGTTCTCTTTTCTGGGCCTCCTTCATCTCAATGTCTCCTGGCTTTCCACCTGGGCTTTTCACCATGGCCTTGGCAGTCTGCTTGCCTGCGGTCTTCAGGATGGCTTTAATTCCCAGATTGTCGATGTTGTGCGCAGTAACACCAACATTGATCACTGACTTGAGACCAGTGTCTGTGGCTGCACCTGCATCATTACCATACCTTCACCACAAATAATACTGCAGTTAGGAAGTAGTGGTTTGGTGTTGAAAGTATATTTGTGCACAACATTTTAATTTCAGTTCAATGTGAGTTTGTGTTTTGATTCGCATCAAAAACATCACAACACATTGTCCATATCTTATTTTTAAGTAGTTTTATTAGCAACAAACCAGAAAAGGAGGGCACAGACAGTCTGAACAGCAAGAGCAGCACCACCCAACACAAGCAGATATTTAGCTTTGGTTTACAGACCTACAGACCAACTCAGAAAATCAAACACAAAACAGAGGCTTTAAATACACTTAGTCAAAAAAGAACCCAAAACTCATACTTAAAAGTTCACTTAAAAATCTCATTTAAAAAAAAGTCCGTTTTATGAAAACAACATTATAATAGAATTATGTGTAAGCTGCTCCATTAGATTTGGCATTTGTCTCACTGAGTTCTTTTCTGACTTGATCTTGGTTAATTAAAAGTCTGTAAATAATGCAGAGTGAAATGTTAGTTCAAAAGTCTTTGCCTTTACTCCCCAGTGCCGTCATATGTTCCTGGACATTTTTAATAGTTTCTCTAAGCCCCTGAATCTGAAAAGAAATAAGCAGATCAGTTTCCCAACGTACCAAGAAGAAAGCAAAAGAGAAGGTAACAGAAGAACATGTTTCTTATCCAGTGTTCTACAGTTTGTGACCAAGCAGATGCAGAAACAGGCTAGAAAAAAAGATCTACAATAGTCTATAAATGATCAAGAAATGTCTATCAATGTAACAAAGAAGAAATAATGGGGAATGTTTAGACTTACTTATATGTCACAATATTGACAGTCTCTGCTGTAACGCTTTTGCCAATAAGCTTTGCTCCGGTCTCCAGACTATTCCAAATAGTAGAGAAACCTGGTGGGGATGCAAATTTTCAAAAATTGAAGTCATCTATAAATACTTAAATCCTCCATCTTTAAGCAAACATTAAAAAGCCAATTCATGCCCGTTCGGGGGTTTTATGTTAGATCAGACAATTTTCAAGGGTATATAAATAAATCCGACTACGTGCATAACCTGGAATCATCCTTTTTACCTTGTACACTGCTGACTGCCACTAACTTGGCTCCGTCCATGTTGGAAGGGCGGCCATCTTTACCCTTCATAGACTCTGGGACGAGTTTTGCACCATGTTTCTTCACATGTGGTGCTATCTTCTCTGCCACATGTCCTGCCACTGCACTGACTCCATCAACTGTGAATACACACACATGCACAAGTATACATATAGGTGCATAGCCTTGCCACTTAAAAGTACAGAAATCAATTAGCTTTTTTATTTAAAGTTTTCTTGTGTGGTTGTTTAACATCCAATAGAAGTTTATGTTTTTGTTATCATTTCTCCAAAGTGCCTTGACACAGAACTCTGTTTGTTTGTAGGATTATGATTTCTCCATGGTAAGACTTCTTATGGCATCAATTAAAGTCCTTACCCATGAATTGGCTGACCCGAACAGCGCCCCCGCTGGCCGTTTTAGCCACCTGAAGACTTTTGGTGACACGGGGGCTGACCTCTGAAGGAGTGTCCTCAGGAGTGATGTGGTCCCGGATCTTGGCTGCTCCTTTATGAATGGCCCTTCCAGTTGCCTCTGCTCCTTTAACAAACTCTAGACTCAACTTTGTAGCGCCTTAAGATAGAAAAATGTTGAGTGTTACATTTTTATTGGCAAAACTAAGTATGTCTTATACAAAATATCTATTGCAGGAAAGTGCAAAGGTGGTTAGACAAAAACTTCCTTTACCCATGTTCAGAAGACATTGCAGCAAAAGTGAACAATGCCCTCTAGTGGTCATGTTTGGTAAATAGAGTAAAAGCCAGTAATGATGTTTGCCTCATAATTTTTGAAGACCATTGCTTAAAAACACACCTGACAAGATTCCTTGTGCCATCTTCTCACTCCATCCAGGAAGTAGTTTTCCCTTCTCCCCTGCGGGCACGCTCAGCACTGTTTGATCACCTTTTGGGGTACCAAGGGGGATTTTCTCACTCAGGTTGATAACTTGTGACCCTGACCCCTCTGGACCCTGGAAGAAAATCCATTAATTCATATGCTGATCATTTATATTTATGACATTGATAATAGAAGGGATATGAAGAAAAATGCTTTTTTTTAAATGTGAACCCAAACAGGTAACATTCATTCCTATAAGCCACTTCTACAATTCTACAATTCACTTAGCAGACGCTTTTATCCAAATATCTGGTAATTAATCATGACACCCAGGTTCCGGGCAGACTTTATGGGCATGAGTTTGGTTGTACCAAGCTGGATATTGATCTGTGGTTGCATAGAGGGACTGGCTGGGATGACAAGGAGCTCAGTCTTTGGAAGGTTGAGTTGAAGGTGGCATTCATTTATCCATTTAGAGATATCAGCAAGGCATGACGAGATTCTTGCAGCAACTGTAACATCGTCTGGCGGTAATGACAGGAAGAGCTGGGTATCGTTAGCATAGCAGTGGTATGAGAAGCCATGAGAGCGGATTATTGAACCAAGGGAGCTCTTGTATATGGAGAAGAGAAGGGGACCATGCGCTGAACCTTGGGGTATCCCTGTGGATAAGCTGTGCGCTTTGGACACTTCTCCCTTCCAAGACACTCTAAAAGATCGCCCGGGAAGTAGGCAGACAAGGCAGCAGACAGGTCTAGCAGTAATAGAACTGAGGACTGACCCGCAGCTCTGGCAGCTCGTAGCGATTCTGTAACTGACAAGTAGTGCAGTGTTTGTAGAGTGGCCCTGCTTAAAGCCTGACTGATTTGGGTCAAGCAGATCGTTTCTGGACAGAAACTCAGAGGCAGAAGAGAAACTGGTCTGTAGTTTTCAACCTGGGCTGGGTTGAGTGTGGGTTTATTGAGCAGAGGGGTGACCCGAGCTTGCTTGAATCCAGTGGGGAACACACTCGTTACAGAGAGGAGTTGATGATATGCTTAGGTGCAGCATTAAGTGGAGAGGAAATGGTCTGCAGGAGGCTTGATGGAATTGGGTCTAGAGGACAGGTGGTGGGCCGAGAGTCTAGCACAAGCATAGAGACTTCGTCCTCAGTCAGAGAGGAGAATGACTCGAGTTAGGCACTTTGGGCTGAGTTGGTCAGGCTCAGAAAACTGGGGACTGATGGTTGCAACCTTGTAAAATATGAGGCAAACATATCTGGTGTGAACAGATTGGAGAGTGGAGGAGGAGGTGGTTGAAGCAGTGAGTTAAAAGCAGGAAACATTTTTCTTGTATATGTGGCATTGCATATCTTGTTCTGATAATATGTTGTCTTGGCCATTTTCAGGCTGGAGGAAAATGAGACAAGTCTTTGCTTGTAGTCATTGAGGTCAGTTTGGATTTATCCCATTTTCTCTCTGCTGCCCTCAGCCCTGCTCTTTGATCTCTTGTGACCTTCCAAGTTTTCAAATCAGAGCTTGTTCTGCTGGCAGTTCCACTAAATCCCGCCCCTGGTTGATTTTCAACTTGCAATTAACAGAGGGTGTGACATGCGTCACCTGCCTCTCCTGTTGATGCTCAGAGAATGAAACTTAAGTGCTCAGCCCAAACAAAGCCTGACAACGACCCACTATCAATCTCTACTCAAAGCAAATTTCGCTTCACCCACCTAAGCTGACAAGACCTTCTTAGTTTTCAAATCAGAGTTTGTTCAATCCCTACATCTCTAAAATAGCAAAAAAAAAAATGCATATTGTTCATGTTGTTAACTCCATCCATATCCTTGCCCATCCGTACATTTTCCCTACATTTTTGGTAAAAAGCCCACCTGGATTCTGAGGTCAGCCAGCTGCGACAGCATGTCCTGGAACATCTCTCTGTCAGCAGTTGGCAGTTCAGAGGACAACACTAAACCCACGTAGGACCCTGGAGATTCGGACAGACAGTCAGGGAACATGTAGATCCCAGAATTAGCCAGAAGGACTGGGGTGTCTGTTGTCAGCGGGTACAGCCAGTCACACACCTAAAACACAAAGACAGATCTAAACTAAATACATGTGGTAAGAGCTGATCATTACCTGTATTATTTTAACTGATTGCCAGGTGTAGTTGGTTTAAATGTAAACAGCCAGAATACACTTCAAGGGGCGCTGGTTGGATAAGCGATTTGTTTGTGAGCCCCATGTACAGAGGTTGTTCTCGAAGCAGGCAGCCTGTGGCTCCTTTACTGCAGGTCATTCCCCACTCTCACTCACTGCCAAGTTTTTGACTCTACTAAACTCTCTGAATCTACTGTCCTTTTTGAATAAAAAGCCCAAAAATAATTCTATAAAAAATACGCTTCATGCCCACTTTTATAAGCAAGTATGATAGATACCTGAAATGAGATGCACTGTCTTCCCAATTATTTTGTATATATGTCAAAAGTTGGTTTTGTGAAGTCTTAAGTCACTCGCTTGCTTGTCAACCCCAGCCTATGACCCATGTTTACACCTATCGGTTCTCAAAGACATGTTACAGGCTTTAAGCCTAATGTCATAATTGAGAAGATGAGGGTGTGCACTAAATTGATCAAAATGCACCTAATGTTCGTTATTCTTCAAATAAGTAGCTATGCATTATCATTTAGGTGTACCATCAGAGTCCAGTCCACATAAAAGTGACTATTTCCCCTTGAATATTCAAATAACAATCATCATGAAAAATCCTATATCAAGTAGAGGATCTTTAGACAAATTTGTAAGTTACTGACCAGTTCAACCAAACTTATTTCCCTGTATCATGTTTTTAAATGCACAAAAACTGCGCTGACAAGTCTATTTGAAAAACATCTTTGTAGGAGGTCTGGAGGTCTCACCCAGAACATTTTAGCACCAGAAATGTCTTTCCCTCAATTCGATCAATATTTATGCACAATTTGAAGGTTTTCCTCACCACTTTGAAATTATGATTTAGTTAGCCTATGTGTCCTCTTTTTATGTTCATCAGTAACATTTTCACGCAGTGATGCATTCATTTAAAAACATGTAGACTTCAAGTTCTTGTGTTTCTGTTCTATTTAGCCCTGCAGAGTTCCTACAGCTGTAGCTTCATACAGGCTCTGCAGCCTTTTTTGTTGTTTTTCATGACATCATTGGACCAACTTTAGTTTAGTTTATATATAATCAAACATAATACAAAATGTGTTAATTCTGTGACACATAATCAAAGTAAGTTTTACTGACAGAAGAGTTTAATTCATAGAGGGGGCGGGACATTGTTGATTGACAGACAGACAGTCACCATGGTTACTCACTCTTACCTGCCTGCTGCTCGACAGCAACATTTTAAACACCTGGGTTATATCTCCCATCACTGTCTGTCTGACTCTCTGCAGACTGTTTACATCTCTCCGGCTCGTTAAAAGGTTCGTTGTGTCGCTATCTGAGATGTAATCTTAACTGTGCAAACTATGCAGATAAGTTAATTGTTGCTCACGCCGTGTCGGTTTGAGAAAATATCAGAACATTTGCATATAATCGGGATGGAGTTGTTTTTGCGGACTTTACTTTTAAGTTTCGTTTCCACCGCTGCGGAGCAAAAAAGGAGGGAGGGAGACGTGTCTGTGTAAGAGCATAAACTGCAGCATGATAGAATAAACACATTAGCCCGGTTCTACGATCTCTCTGCTTTGGCAGATCGTCAGCAAGTTAAAATCCTTCACGATCTAAGATCGTTATATCGCCCACCACTAATATCAGGTGCTGTAAAATAGGTACATTTACTGCTACATCCCGCCACTGGTATGCCACCTGACAGAGTGACCCTTTGAGGGTGCCGGACACTGACCAGCGGCACAACAGAAGCGCAGAGTCATCTCATAAAGGGACCATTGTGTTACTGAAAAACAAAGCAGGACCAGAACACAAGCAAGCCGCCCACCAGCCTGGTGTGGAGCGAGCACAGAGTCATGGGTTTCACTGCAGTACAAAGAAAAGCAATATGAGCTCTGCAGAGGTTCTATAAAACATTTGAATTATTTCACAAGTTCTTAATTGATTCAAAACAACCAACACACATTGTGCGTACATGAATATGACACAGCATAACTAAATTATGAATTTAAGTATATTTTATTTTCGTATGAGATATTGTGTCATCAAAGTAATATGAAAACTTTCACAAAAAATTGAATATTTATAATCTGAGTGTGCTTAAAACATTGTACATTAAGCAACAAAAATACATTTCTTAAACGCTGGCTGAGCAATACTGCTTACATATTTTTACAATTATGCAAATCATAGCTCAATTACATCAATTTAAGCAACCAATATAGTACACAAAAAAGCCAAATATGAACTGGTTCATTAAATTCAAAGATTTGCATCTTATTTTCCTGTTTTATATGTTAATTAACAGATTATTGGTTTGGTTATGGACTGTTAAACATTTGAAAACATCACCTTTGGCTTTAGGGAAATGTGACAGGTGTTTGGACTGTTCTTTGAGTTTTAAAAGACCAGGCATCTAATCAATAAAGTGATAAAGTGAAAGAATCATCTGATTTATTGCTGATTAAAATGGTCATTGTTTGTCATAATATAACCCTGTTGAAAACATAGATCAGAAACAAGGAAACTTCAGTTTCCATTTTTTGTCATAAGACTTGAATAAGTTAAAAAGGATACATGTATATGGAGACAACACGACAGCATCATTTGTAATCAGTAACTTTATACAACATCAACCTCATGAGTCAGGTAGTTCTAGAACTGGTCGAATGTAAGAAGTGTGTGCACTGCTCAAACATAATTGTCTTTAGGACACACCCCAGGAAAAAATCTTCTCTGACATACAACACCCACATACCGTACATACTTATTAAAACATATTGTTTACTTACATGTATAAATGCTGAGGGCCTTCCTGCTGTGAAATCCTTTTGCTGGTTGTCAAATGTAATGATGCGAAGGAAGCCTGGATAAGACAGGGAGCTGACCTGTCCATTTGGTGCCACGAAAAACATCTGCACCCCTGAATGGATTAAAAGCAGCTCATGTCCATCTCTTCCTGCAGTGGCTCCAGTCTGGAGGCTCCCTCCAGCAGGACCACAAGCCAGGCTGCGATGGCCTGCTGTTGGCTCCAGTGTATATGCTGGAGGTTGTTGCCCTGTATTTGCCATGGCTGTTGTTCCTGGCACGGCTGCTGGGACTGTGTGTGTGTGCAGAACAGCAGGGGAGGGAGGCCTGGGAGGGGGAGTTCTAGGGGTTGGGATTGTATTCTGGTTGGTAGCAGGTAGTCTTGGGTAGAGGTGTTGTAGGGAGCTTTGGGGAGGCTGAAGATCCTTTAATAGATGGCCTCTCTGAAATCCTGTTTTTTGCTGAGAGGTCTCCATGTCAGAGAGGTGGGTGTTGACCGTCTGCAGCGTGTTCCTCATCTTCTGTTGAAGCTGTCTGGCCATGTCCCACGTCGCTCCATGCTGCCTTGCCCCCCTAGTGGGGATCTCCACTCCTTGGGTAAGGTGTTGGTGACCTTTCCTGTAATACTCCAGGGCCTCCATTTTTTTCCCAGCTTCTTCAGCTGCCAGGCCACGGCTCAGAGACTGAAACGCCAACTCATACTGGTCTCTGATGAGCAGCAGCTCAGCAGGCTCTGCCATGCTGATGAGAAGATACAGAGACTAGAAAGGACAGAAAAGACGTAGGAAGGAATTTAGGAGTATATAATATACATTTGTAACTGTGATTAGTCTTTGTTTACTTTAAAAAAAATCAGTTTAGAGTAATTGGCCTGCTTCAATTTGTTTCTTTTTGGCCTAATGGTTAAAAAAAAAACACAAAGATGTAATAAGGGATAATAAAATGAAAAATTTAGTATTTCTTTATTTGTAAAAGGACCTTGTTCAATTAATATATGAGGTATAAGAAAAGAGTGAGCTTAAAGCTACATTTTAGTTTCCAGTACCTTGGCAGGGAAAAATCTGAAATACAAGCAGTTACGTAACACTAAATAATCAAAAGACACAATACAGATTGACAAACAGGAGAACAACACACAGAAATATGAGCAACAACATGAATATGTTGGACTAGTAGAAGAAAATGCAGTCACTGGTGGCAGAGTTTGTTTGTTTTTAATAAAAATGATAAAAGTATAGATTTGCAAAATTAAAGGGATATGTGACACCTTGGAGGGTATAGGCCTACCTGTCACCAAAATAAACAAGGTGTATTAATTTTACATAAAGCAAGACCAATATAGGCCTACATAGAAAACAAATATATTAGCATTAAGACAGAGAAGATGAACTAATATGGAAAAAATCTCTGTAATGCAACTTTGTTGTTGTTGGCTGTTACTATGTCATCAGGTTTAACCTGAACAACATGTCTGTGTTGAAGCTGTTAAGAGAAGTCTCTATTCACCACATCACAAATGACTTCTTTTTTTTTAAGAGAGAGTTCTTCTTACACCACCACGAATTAATGCAGGGTTGAGTATCTTGCCGTAGAACACATACGACATGTTGCTCAGCTGGGGATTGAACCCTCGACCTACTGGTTCAAAGGCGACGACTTTACCAACTAAGCCACAGCCGCCCATACGAGAGTGAGAGTGAGAGTGAGAGTGAGAATGAGAATGAGAATTTCAACATTTTTATCTCAGTATCAAGTATCAGTTCATGTTAGTTGTAGAGATATAACGCCAGACCGTTGGACATCAACATAAAGTTTCAAGTTAAATCTGGCTTACCTTGAAACGGATGTTGATTTAATCTAAAAGGAAAAAAAAAAGTTGTCTCAGAGAGTCCTTGTATTAATTTTAGACAGTTTCCCTGAACTGTCGTGGATGTTGAAACGTCTTCTCTCATTGAATAAGTGCACTTCACTTACCAATTCAATCTGTTGGACTCCCAGCAGCAGCAGGGGGCATTGACAATCTGCGGAACTACTCACGAGCGTCAAACCTGTGAAGGTGTGACTACACTGGTTCCGGCCAACGTTTTCAAAATAAAACCCCTGGCTACACGTTACAATGTTTATAAATCAAGAGTTCGAAACTTTATTTATAGGAATAGCAATATATAACATTCAACTCGCTTGCTTTTGTAATGTGTTATCTTTCGCTCAAATACATAGGCCTATGGCTGAAAAAGTTATATCAATATTCAGGTAGCCTAAAGCTTACAAAAATGACTTTATAATACTTTGTGCATATATTAGAGACTATCAAATATGGAGGATGTTGTGATTTAAACTTTAAAGACAGCATTATTCTGAAAAAAATATTTTTTAAATAAAATATTTTAAAAAAATTACATTGAATCACTGACCAGAATGTAAAACCTTGCATGTTCACCTGTATTCAAATTCTAAACTCATGCATGATTTTTTAATTAATTTATTGTATTTGAAGAAGCTGTAAAAAAATAAAATAATAATAAGGTTTTAAAGTGTGCAGTGGAGTATGGCCTTCATGGGACTGGCAGTATAATACTTTGTCTCATATTTAATTATGGACTGGCAGGAGTTTCAGAGGACGGGCGAGGCAGTGAGTCATAGGAAAGGTGGAACAGCAGGCGGGGTGATCAATGACACACGACAATACCTGTGAATAGAGACATAAAAACCCAGATAACAGAGCATTTAGAAAAGTGAAATTGTGTCCTGGCTTCAACATTAAATTCATAAAACGTTCAAAAGCAACAACAGTAGTTGTTTGTAAAATCATTAATTTTTATGAAAACTATTAACTATGCCTTACTTTGAACTCTTGTACTTTTCCCTGATGGCCTGTTGTGGGCGACTCTCAGCACTTATGTACAGCTTGTGCAGTTCATTCAGGCAAGGAACAATTTCACCCATGGTATAACCAGTAAAGTAATGTAAGGAATCAGGCTAAAACATGCAGAAAAATAATTCCAAGTCAGATTTTGGCTTATTCCATTTTAAAAAGTTTGCACTTCCTCGAAGATATTGTTCTGGAAACTTACCCAGAGAGATCTGTTTATAGTGTAGATACCTAGGCAGTACGCTGCAGCTGCCACTGTTGATTGGTTGTACTGTAGGAATGGATCAATTTCCAGCAGGCTTAATTCTGCTAAATACTAAAATCACAAAAACATGTAGTTATGTCACAGTAATGTAAAAAGGACATTGGATTACTGTAAAATCAAAAGTAGAGGATAAACACTTAAAGTCTGACTGTCATTTATTTTGCTCACCTGTGCAAGATTCTCTGAGTTGGCACACAGAGGCTGAATGGACATGAAAAGCTGAAGGAACTGGTTTATAGTGGGTGCTGCCATCTTGAAAGCTAGCACTCGGAGGAAAACATGCTCCATCCGGACCAGCTGCTTCTTGGTGTAGGTGCTGTCTGTGGTGTACACAAACTCGCTCAGCTCGGGAGGGGAGATCTCCTCATACTTTCTGCAAGATTAAGCAATATCAGGTTTTCGTTTTCACTCCAAACATTGCTTCAGTGTCAATTTTGGGGACTGACTGGGCAGTGAACTTGTTATATTGTATGGACAAAAAGATTTGCCTACGCAGCAATCATTAATGCAGCTGTGCCAACCAGCTGAAGCTTGCCCCGCTTCACACACGCCACGCAGGAGAGAAAGCGGTCCAAATAGTTGACAGCGAGGTGCAGAGTCTCAGAACGAAGCTGATATTCCTCTACGACTTCCACCAGCCAGTCCACCAGGATGACCCGCATGCTGATGGTGATCTCTGGATGTTTGTCTAAGTAGCCAGACATTGGCCTTAACCTTATCTAGAGTTAGAAACAAATTATCATCAAGTATTTCTTGTGCAAATCCTTCCAAGGGCAATGCATTTAATGTTGCCCATAAACAGTAATGTGAAACTAATAATTCAGTGCTCATAGTTTAGATTATTTTGCACCTCACTCTCCCTCAGGTGCCGGTGAATGTCCTGCGCGTACTGGGAAACACACAGCACCTGCTCTGACATCAGGTATTTATCATTTTCAGACTGCATAGAAACATCCTGGCATGAACCTGCAAGAAAAAACAAAATGTTGGTGAAGAACAACAACAAAGTATTACATATGAGATGTGTTTATGTTTAACAAACGCACTTGAACTCAGTTCCAGGAGCAGTCTCACACCTTCATTCTGCAGTGCAGCGGTTTCTGCATCCTCATAATAGCTGTTTGAGACAACTTCTTGACCAGAGGCTGCGAGGACAACTTCACAGGCCTCTTCCACATACACATCAAAGCTGGAACTAGAGGGACAGCCAAGAAAGGTGAGCTGGGAGCCGTCTGAGATTGAACTGTGTTTGGAGAACTGACTTCCCTGTAGAGAAAAACAACTCAGCATGACTGTCACATTTAGTAAATGTTACGTTTATGTGAGGGGAAATTGATTGCAAATCAAACAATACACTTTAACTCGGTCATTTACATACCTGGCTTTGGGATCGACAACGCTGCTCATTTTCTGACAGCACACCTAGCACTGTCCGCTGCTTGGGCCGCTGGACCTGCGATACTTCTGGCTTGATTGAATGTGGGATATTTTCTTTGCTAGTGCGACTGCCACAATGGGCATGTGAGCTGAAGTTCATCTTTAAACAATGACAAGGCAAAGATAAAATCCAAACATTGTGGCCAACATGATTTACAGAATAGGAACAATAACAGAAACACTTTATGAAAACATGAAATGATGAGGTACATTAATCATCACACATACACCTGAAAGATGGACCACATTATGTTGCACTTTTTTAGTTTCCAACATGGTGGGCAGGACCTATAAAGAGGTTGCAAGATACATCTAAGATAATAAGAATGATAGCAAAGTTAAAAAAAAACTTTAAAAAAAACGCAACAGTGCAGCATCTGATTAAAGCTGAATTATTATTAATTTTTTATCATTAAACAAGGCACAAGGCAAATGGCTTGATTTAATACAAAATCAACAGTCATTTAATTTTACACATTTGCCCATATAAGAGAAACAATTTAATGAAATCATCACCTTTTAGGCTGAGATTATTTAATGTTTTGCAAAAAATAATGTCAAGTTAAACTTAATTGAACAGGAAAATGTTTGTTTTTCTCTGGTGCAAAATACAAAACGATGCATCACGAAATGAAAAAGTATTAAGTAATCAAATGAAGTTCAGCAAAGAACATGAAAAACCTGATGTTCTTCATCTTTTGTGCAACGTAGGTAGGCTATTTGAAACAGCATTGCCATGGTTACAAGAACTGAGCAATATCCATCAATCACAGAAACACAGGCTAAAACAAACGAGGGATGAAAACAAGGCTGCTAAATGAGATGAACAGACAGAGCCAGACACTGTTGTCCTCTAACTTACAAGTAGCCAATAAAGGAGTTGACCGCTGACTACAAACTCACCATCAGCTGGATCGACGTAGTTATTAGTTTAATGTTACGAATATTGAAGCATTCCAGTAAAGACCTAGGCGGAGTTATTAAAAGCTGAAATCCTTTTTTTTGTAGTTTTTGAGCCAATAGCGACCTCTGCTGCGTTAAAGCTTGTTTTTGATGTCGGATGTCTGACCTGCGGGAACGTTTCTTCAGGTTTCGTCGTCAACTAATCAGCTGTTTCCTCAGAACGTCTTTTCGTGACGCGCACAGACGCAACATTTGACGAGCTGGGGCGTCGTGCGTCACTAACTGTGCGCAACTCCAATTCAAATGTTTTCCTATTAGCCTACTATTACTATTAATAGTTAAATATGTGAGTGGTCTGCTTTGATTGGGGTTTAGAATGACTGTCTCAAGTACTTGTGTTATATGTTTCAAACTTTTATCACATAAACTTTCCATGGCTTGCACAAAAATGGACAGAGTAGGCCTATGTTATTACATTTCTAGTTTCTTAATAGCAGGTTTGCACCACAGAATTTGCACAGAAAGTTGACCTCAGCAGCTGTTTTTGAATTGTAATGGGCTTCTCACTGTGAAGTAAATTGGCCTAATAACTTTGACACCATAATATCACTGTTGCCTTACCAAAAGGTTAGGAAAAAGGAAACTTATGCACATAACACCCCTGTAAAGATATTTTTTAAACTATCCTAAAATATTGATCTAAAAAATGAACTGATTTTTAAAGTAGAGCACATTTTGATTAGATTTCCCCAATTTTAAGCTTTTCAGTTAATGAACAAATCCAAATATCTTATTTGAAATTAATTCTCCCCCCCCCTTTCTAACTCTTCTAAGCTAACCTTCACAATGTGAGTAAAGGCTTTCTTATATATGAGTGTTCAGGGTTTTTTTTAAGCAACAGCCTGGAAACGTTGAGATTTTCTGGGTGTGGTGATTGATGGTGAACAGCCAACAAAAAGAGCTTTTGTCACCTTGTCATGTAATGATGAAGGAACCTTAGTCGTTGAGCAAGAATGTCAGAGTCATACTTGCGAGACTGGCTTAAGTTTAAAGAAAGAGTAGATGGAGCTGAGAGTAAAGTCATTTCTGCATTACAGGTATGATTTTTCACTTTCCCATGATTGAGCATGACAGTTAAATTTAAGCTCTTGTGTCTTTTCTGTCACTGGATGAGAAAAATGTTATCAGATTGTGTTTAAGACCTTAGTACATGTTTAAAAAAAACATGTTTAATATGTCTCAAATGTCCAGAATTACAAATCTAATCTGTTTCACCCTATTTGTTTTACATATTCTAGAATCCCTGTTTCCTGTTTACTAGGAGCTATACTCCAAGACATATACCTGAGATTTGTACTTAGAATCAGTAGAAGAAGAGCAAACTCTTGTTTACTATACATTTCACTAAACTGTCTGCAAATCTAGATCTCTTTTCTAATCTGCTAATTTGAATTTGTCAGCATTAAATCCTGCAACATAGCCAAGAGTTATTAAGGATCTAAACTCTGCTGCTCCAGCGGCATGCCTTCCTGTCAGCCTTGTCCTCAGCTGGGGTTCAGCTGTGAGCTGCTTCATTTACTGGACTCGTAG